GGTTAGGCGATACACTCGTATCCGTGACTTCTGTAATCTGGCATCCATTACTAGCTGACAATTTGAGTTGCTTTCCTAATCTTGTATATAATAAACACAATTACAACAATACAAAGGATAAGGGGAAGCCAGCCATCCACTAGGAGGTTTAAAAAAAAAAAAAAGAAAGGTATTTTTGGAAAACTCAAAATTATTAATTGGAGGAATAATTGCACTCCTTAGAAGAGCAGGAGGCTAAGAGGGGTCATGTTTATGTAAGGCAGCTCAAGTGCAGGCCCCATCAGATGCAGGGAGAGGTCTGGATGACTTATCAGGTCCCTTCCAGACCTCTGATTTTAAAAGAGGCAGATAAATATCCCATGGGGCCTTGTTACTTTTTAAATTGATAACTTGCTTCTGCTCAAGAAGAGCTGTGTGGGCCTAATACATTAATTATATCTGCAGAGAGCCTTCCATCTAGCGATCCCAAGGTGCTCTGCCAACAGTAACTGTAGCACCATTCCATTTGGGCGAATGGAAACACTGAGGCCCAGAGCTGTTCAGAGAAATTTCCAAGGTCACACAGTGCATCATCTAAGAATAGACGTCACGTGGTTCGAACTGTGAGCCAACTGATTTGGGGGGTTTGGTTTTCCAACACCATTCTCTCTTCTCTTCCGTCTCTGATATTCTCTCAGAGGTTTGAAAATTCTCAAATGGCTTTCAAAATGATTTGTTTTAATTTAGAAAATAAATATAGGACCAGGGATTTTTGAAGTGGGGTGTTTGTTTTGAAGGGATGTGGCCAAATCAAACGCACAGCAACTTCTTTCAACTCTACATCCTCAGGATTCTAGGACGGAGCCCAAACTCCAAAATGATGAGCCTGGAGCCCTAAGCCATGCAATCTGTCCCCAAGCACGCCTTGCCTTCAGGTCTCCCCCCATAACAGAGGCTCTCCAGGAAAACGCACACCTCTTGACCCTTGGACTGGACATCTAGGAAGCCAGTTTCCCTCTGGATGTAAGATGATGGGCAAGGGATGGAGCAGATCATCGAGAGCACCTGCCTGGAAATAAAAGCCTGGCGACCAGGTGCCTTCCACGGGGACTCCCTGGTTCCCCAGGTCCCTGGGGCGAATGACTTGTCTCTGAGAGCTTCAATTCCACAGTCTTTAAAACTCTGTTAAATCCAGAAGCCAATAGCTGGTGCCTTGAGGGTTCTCCGAGCCCCTTGGAGGGCATCACGACATTAATACGAGCTTAGTGCATTTCTGCCACTCATTATGAGGTAATTCTAAACACTCTTGGACCCAAACCTTTCCTCATCCCTGTCCTCACCCTCCCATCCTCAGTGTGGACATCAGGATATATTCAGTGCCCCACTAGACTTTCTCTTTTAGCCCCGATTCCTTCCAAATACATAGAGAACAGCCCAGGAGCATTGTGACTAAGAGAAAGGTAACCAGAGCTGTGTTGCCAGATGCCGACGTTTACCAAATAAAGGAGAACTGAAGACAAGGGCTTTTGCTTAGACATATAAGGACAATGGCCTCTGTCCCCGTCCTGACACCAGCCTCGGTCTCATTCCCTCCAGTGCAGACTCACGGGGTCAGCATCTCAGAGGTGAGCAGGAACTAGGCAAGGCCTCCTGCCTTCCGGCGCCTCCATCTTTCTCCCCGCTTCTCCCCGGGTTTGTGTGTACATAATTGTGATGATAATTATAGACACATCCACGAACCTTCTACCAGTGTATTTACAACACTCTATCTATGTTTGGAGTGTTATTAATACAGCTGGGAAACCAAAAGCAGTAGTTTTCTGCTTGTGGTTTCTGAGGAAATCTATGTGAAGCAATTTGTATAATCTAAGAAGCACATGGGCTGGATATGGTCTCCATCAGGCGGACGAGCTCTCAGCCTTGAGGTTATGCCATAAATACGCATGAGGAGGGCCCGCCCTACAGGAGAATCAGAGGTTCCATATTTATGGCATGTGGAATTGGATTAGGATTTGGAAATGTGCTGTACATATGGCCTGCCTAACTGGGCTGCGTTTTGCCAGGAGGGTGTTTGCAATCCCCCCAGCAACAGTGTCCTGCCTTTCTCATAGGCAACCTCACCACCACCTGTCGGATGGAAAGGGACTAAGAAGAGGCTGCTCCCCGGCTAGGAGGCTGGAAAAGAGTTCCTTAGCTTTCCTCGCTTCCTGGCTGCAAGAAGAAAGTCATTCCCCCATAGGTCCAATTCTTGCCTTAGCCCAGCCTGGGTCCAAATTGTAAATAGTGTTTTGCAAGGAAATAGCACGGCCATCTCCCACCACCTTGAGTGCTCATTAATCTTGTTTTTCTCCAATTTCCCCAATTCCCTGGTCTTTGGTACACTGCATTGGTGTTGACAGTGACCAGGGAATAAAATCAAGATCCCACATTTCTGCCCCAAATGTCACCATCCCCCATGCACTGGTTTGCATCTGCAAACCCTCCGCCTGTACCACGGAGCAGAGCAGGCTGCTGCCTCCATCTCGGCTCTGCTTTGCTCACAGGTCCTGCTGTCTGAATTTTCCTTTCAAGCCCAGCACTTAGCACCAGTTAGCTTGGCACAGCGCCCACCATCCAGCGGCTACAAAGAAAGACTCAGCGGTATCGCCGGGCGTAGACGAAGTCTCTCCCCCCCACTGCCCCCAAGTCCCCTCCTCACCCCGCCTCCGCTTCATGGCATCAAATCAAACTGCAGCAGACTTGACAAATCTATTTGGCACGGTTCACTCAACTATTCCAACCCGAACAGCCCAGAGAGCTGCGTTGAGGCACATGAACGTTGTGGAATCTGCACATTGAATACAGACATCTGGGCCCTAGAGCTGCTAATGAAGGAGAGGCAGAGGTCGCCCTTGGAGGGGAGGACTGGGCAGGTCTCCCCTGCTGCCTGCCTCGCCAGGATTGGCGAGGGAGCGTGGGGAGGGGCAATGCCTAATTGGCAGGCTTTGCATTCCCCTGCCTCCTTCTAGGTACCAAGAGGATGCATTTCTAATGGGGAGAGAAAAGGCTTTTCCTCTGCTGCAGCATCCTTTATGTGGGCAGGACTGACTCACTATAAAAAAAACAACCAAACAACAACAACAACAACAAAATTACCTCTTGGCTCCTGGGGAAAGAATGTTAGCTAAGGGTGGCAAGAGGAGACACAAGAGAGAACGAGAAAGAGAGCTAGTGATGTGTCCAATGTGAACAAGTTGAGAAGAATGATTGTAAAGGAGCCCAAACAGCGGAATTCAGGTCTCAGGAATATCTTCCCTGCAGAAGGAACACGAGGGCGGAATCCAGGGAGGACAGATTCTATCAAAATGTGCAGTGCTAAGGTATTTCCAAAGGCAGATTTCCTACAAATGGTGTTTTAAATAGCATTCTGGCCCATCTGCGTGCTTTTAAAATCAGCTTATGCTACAGTATCCCTCCGGCCAGCACCGCTTAGTCATTGAGCCCGGACAGTGAGGCAGTCAGGTGACCCTCCTCCTCCTCCCCCGGGACACCCCTACTCAGCTGCGGGCCCTCACCTGCCTGGCTGAGCTTCGGGGTTCTATCAGCTTCTTACTGAAGAGGCTGGGTGGATAAAGAAGGCGTAAAAATGAGCGCGATGGGATAAGGACTCAGCCCACAGCGCTCCCGGCACCCAGTGCCTACCCACGCTTGCCATTTCCAAGGGATATTTGGCAACGCTTCCCGAAATAGAGACAATGAGAAACTAGACGTGACTCCACACGTCCAGGTGGGGAAGTCTTTCACTCGCTTTCTTTGTCTGTGAAATGAGGAATTTTCGTGTATGTGTACACGAAATATTGATACCTAGTAATATCTAGAAACCATGGTTTTCCGATGAAGGGTGCCATGTTTCTATGGCAATTTTAATGATTAAAAAAAAAAAAAAAACAACCCACTCCTTTAAAAACTCATGTTTCCCAAGTGACACAGTGCCAACATAATAGTTCAGGATTTTCTGGGTCTAAAGTCCTAGAAATGAAAGCTGCCTTAGGACGGTGACAGGAGCTGAGGAGGCTGGAAACGATCTTTGGCCTCTCTAGGTTTGGCCACATGTGTCCCATTTTGATCGTTCAGAACCTGACCAGCGCCTGGTGGAACTGCAGCACTAAAAAGAAGACACCCTTGTCCTTTGTGCCCAGTTCCCTTCAGGGGAGGATGAGTACTCTCCTTCCAGACCTGAGAGCCAGCGCAGGATGAACAGTTCTCCCCCTGTCCAGGTGAGGCCCCTGGCCATCTCCAATAGGCCCCCTACATGCTGCGTGCACCTTACAACCACTACATCACCACGCCAGCTGCAGGCCTGTTCACTGCCTGAATGCCATGTGGCTTAAGAAAGCTGAGTGCCATACATTCATCCATATGCACAACAAAAGCCCCACGTCACCCACCTGGACATACCTCCAGGAGCCACAGACACTGAAGGCACCAGCCGAGAGAGTTCAATGCTCTGCTGCCAAGCAGGATTGCCAGTTCAGATCCCATCTCTAACAAAGTGAATTTCTCCTCATTATTTATGCTCCTCTTTCTTCTCTGAGACATTGTGATTCCCTCTCAGGATTTGTGCCCTTTCATTTCTAGACCTTGGTAACTCCTGAACTTCAGTTTCATGTGGTTTTGTGATTGCTCACCCAGCATGTGGAAGGGACTTGGGCCATAAATGCTCAATGAATCCTGTGTGCGGAGACCTGGACTGGGAACACATTTTCTCCTTCATTTGCAGTCAGAGAGCACTCTGCAAGCTCGCTCGCATGCTCTCTCTCTCTCTCCTCTGCAAGATGCAACAGCAGCCACGCTGTCGCTGTCGGAGAAACAGTGCTTTCCAATCATTTTAGCATGAGAAAGACTCCTTTCCAGGCCAGTGTCTCCCACCCTCCATCAATTACTTGAGGCTCCCTGAACACGGCCTCTTCACCTGGGTGAGATTGGCTGGAAGCTCCTCTTGCCCCACCCCTGTCACCTTGGAGGCGGGGCAATCGGTTTACCTTGTGGTTTTTGCCGTGCCGGTACACCATCCAATCTTCACCGTTAGTGCTGACTTCCAGCTTATAGGATTTGACATAATAGCCATTCTGCGTTTCCCTGGAAATTGCGCCCTGTGTTGCAATGGCCGTGAGCATGGTCAGAAAGCGTAGGTCCACCTGAGCAAGAGAGACAGAGAAGGGGGCCGTGACTCCAGACACATGGCAGCATCTTGCTTTTTCTTCGAAGGACACAATTGCAATACTTAGCTCTCAACCCTTGTCTGTGATTCACTCAGATGTACTGGTGACAAAGAACTGGTTTGCAATTCCGCTGGACAGTTAAACTCAACCTATTTGATGCTATATTGGACATCTTTAAAATTGTAACTTTTTTATTTTTCCTTTGTTCTCTTTTTCATAAATCTGAATGGACAGTATTAAGCTTATCTTCCAGGAATCAATGAACCTCTAGAAGTATGACCCCTTCTTACTAGCAATAGCCTGCCTTGGATAGCGAAAGCAGATGCAATTTTAAAGGAGCGACGGCTAAATCCAATCCACTCCATTCCAATCCACTCCAATCCAGTCCAATTCAGTTCAATTCACTTACGATGCCCTAGTTGCAAAAGTCTCAGCTCAGAGCTGTCTCCCCTCCCTTCAGTCCCTTACTCCATTGTGTATTTAGTCGTTCAGGTCACTAAGGGGTCAAAGGGCATGCAGAGTCTGCCCAAGCAATTAGGCTTATGCACCAAGTCCTGACCTTTGGCTTGGTGAGGAGGATGGCCAACATTTTGAGGCACCTCCCCTCCCACGACACTAAGCCCATGTGGAAATCGCTGGATGTCATTCCTTTTGCCGGCCACAGTGTTTCTTAATGGCAACCTCTGTGTCATCAAAATTTAGGCAGCACACACTGGGAACATTTGATGCAGCAAGGATTTATGGGCTACTTAATATGTGCTCAGCATCATTACGCATTCAAAAGAAGTACCCCGTGCTGTATATGTGCATGTTAAACAGGTGGATAGCAATAAAAGAAAGTATGTGATTAAGGACCCAGAATAAGGATATAATTAATGGAATGCCTATTATAAGGGAGAACTTTCTGGAAGCTTTGCAGGATGAGGATTTTTGAAACAGCAGTGACAAATAGCCTTAGGGTTGTACTGTGAGGACCTCTGTGGACCCCCTGGAAGTTTCTAAGTGGTCTTTCTTCCTTTCCCATTGTTTGCTCTGCAATGTCCTTCTCAGAGCAGAGGTCATCACGTCCCATCAGAGCTAGGACAGGCTTGTCAGTGGGTCACAAGTCTGTCTGCCATGTGTCATAAAAGTCCTAGATCTAGCATAGAACTAGAAGCCTGCTCTTCCCTGGGGACGAGAACTGGACCAGTCTGTCATGCAAGCTAGGATTACTCAACATGAGCTTCAAGTCTTATTCAGAAGGAAAGCAAACAATAGTGTGAAAAGATGCTGCAGAGCTTCTGGGCAACTAGAGTTTCATTCCCGGTAGTGACATTTTCCCATGTGCTCTTCCGATAGCTATGTGGAAAACCTTCCTGGCAGGCTTCCCTCCAAATACAAAGATCATGAGAAGATGCCATGCTCAGCTAGCAACACAAGAAGCCTGCCCTTAAGAAAATGATGTTCCCCCGCCTCCACCCCCCAAATTAAGTCTCTGATGCCTCCCTGTGCCAGGAATGAGGAATATCTGGAACTGTTTGTAGAATGTTCCTTGGATATTCATAGTGATAGGGCAAATAGCACCCTGTCCAAACAACGTCTCCAAGGCCTGGTAATCTTCACAAGGGCAAGGGCCGTGTCCGTCTGACTTGTCATTTTATCCCAGCACTTACCCCAGTGCCTTGCACAGCCTGTTAGTGCATGGCACATGTATTTGAATGGATGACTAAATGGCGTTCTCAGGTATGCTGTGTGTATAGTCTTTGTGTCCTGTGTTCACTCTAGCAGAGAAGCCATCCACCTTGCCCCCCAATACACACACAAATACTGCATACCCTCTGGTATCTGAGTAAGTACCTGGAGATACTCCTTGCTGGAATCCAAGTTGGGTGTCCAGCCATTGTCATCACCATGGAGCCGGCTTTGCTGAGGTCTCCACCTCCCATCAGAGTAGGTAGATGAGGCACTGATCTGTTCATTAGCAATCCTGCCAGACTCCATTCCCAGAGGGACATTGCACTGAAAGTCTGAGGAACGGAGACGGTCAAGGGCAGAGTTATGTATTTCAAACTGAAAACACTGCTCCCTTCCAGGGACAAGTCCTTGTAGGGACTCTCATCTTAAAGACCTCATTAAACACTCACATTTTAAAAACTATGCCAAGTCATAGAGCTTTACAACCCCTCTGGGTCTGCAAGAAACTAAATTGGACCTAAAAGAAATCAGGCTGTGGATAAATAAGAATCATCATACAAATTAAAAATACAATCTAAAGCACAAGAACGATTGGTGCTGCAGGCTATGGATGCTTGCAGACGCCAGATGCACCATTATTGAAATACAGGTACATGTGCGATAGACTCGTGGCAATTTGGGTGGGCTGACACATCGTGGGAAGCCTGCCTTATTAATAAACACCCGGAAGGCACTTTTGCTTCTTTCTTTTTTTCACTCTAGTGTCTCATGAGTTCTGGCACAGAAGACAGACATTACAAAGCAATAAATACCTGTCTTTGAGAGACCTCTCCATGAGTACATGCATGTCACCCGACATTCCCCTGCGCCACCTGTCTGAGGACATGGCCCCAGAAGTCACTTACTCTGACCTTGTGCTGTCAGTATAATTACTGTCCTTCCCATGGATACCACAGACACTGGTCAATATTTGTGTGTGCATGTGTCTGATAAGGACCAGCAATCTTTTCAGGCATCAAACATATTCTTTAGCACTATGACTGCACTGGCCATTTGCAAAACTTTGTGTAATTTGCAATACTGTTTTCTTGTCACTCAATATTCATACGCTCTTTGAAGAAAACAACAAAAGCAAGATCCAGAACAAAACCCATCAGCTTTCCAGCTGGCCAGGCTGCCACGTCTGTAAGGTAAGCATGTGGTACGCTGTCTACAATCCCGGCAGGGTTTCCCCAGCTCTAATCATCCTTAAGATGTTTCGTCCTTAAAAAGTTATTGTTCAGGTTTCTAAGTGGAAATGGCAGCATATTTGAAGTGCATGTCCAAAGGAAGTTGATTTGAAGATGTAGCTCATGGCAAGAGACGGATGGCCTAGATGGCAAGTTCCATGACCACGGGGTTCACAGCTACACTTTCAATGCTTTGCACAGCACCTGGCACACAGTAGAAGTTCAAAAAGCTGTGTTTGTGGCAAGTATGATGTGAGAGTCCAAGCAGTGTACCGGTCTAGTGAGAGCAACTACCTAGGGCCAGAGATGTTTAACGTCAAAATTTATATAGAGAGTTACAAGTGCTCCGTTTTCTGACAATGGCCACTGAGGCTTGGAAAGGGAGAAAAAAGGCCCCAGACTCAAAACGTATTAGCACAGGAGGGGACTCGACATAGATATTAACTAACCTCCTGCTTATTCACAGATGAGAGCACTGAGGCTTCAGATGGTCCTGCGACTTTCCCCGGGAATCACTACTTCTTGGTACACATACTTTTTTTTTTCCTCTAAAGAAATGAGTACCCAGATCAGCATTTGTTTTATTTTCATTAATCTCGGCCTAGCAAGAGCTGTATCGTTCCCATTCCCTGAACCCAGGTGCCATTCCAAATTCTCTAGAATTCCCAGTTCCTTCTCTTGAGAAGGTCAGCCTGTCTTCACTGCACACCCTCACAGCTCTGATGGAAGGAAGGACAGCGGTTCCCAACCAGCCAACTCACTCTCTATCGGCTCTTGGTGGACCAGGTAGTAACGTGCAGAGAAGCCATCCTTGGCCACTGCCATGTCCGTATGAAAGGTCAGAGAGAGGATTCCAGTCGACGAACGGAGTTCAGAGGGTGTTTTGGTCCCACAGTACTTGCCAATCAGGGGTCCAACTGGATGTGCAGGACAAAGAGAGGTCAGCCGATATGAAAAGGTTAAACTCCACTTTCAATACATTCTCCCTTCCCATAGTTGCAAGTCATTCACTAGAGCATCACTTTGTATGCCCAGGCATAAAAGAACAATCAAAGATATGCTTTAAGAATGATATTTTTCCTGCACATTAAAAAGTACTTTCACTGGCCTTGTCTCATTCTGTCTGATCTCCCAGTCCTGAGAGATGGGCCGGAAAGTTATCATTATAACACCTGTTCTACAGAAGAATAAATTGAGGTTCAGAAAGGTCACATGACTTTTTGTTGTTCATAGAGCTAGGAAATAACAGAGCTGGTACTCAAATCCACGTTTTATGACTAAATCTTATGCTTTTCTCAGAAAATGAAATTGCTTAGCCATCGAGTCTCCCTTACACGGCTACGACAGTGAGAGACTGGTGTCCTCATAGATACTGACTATCCTCAAGACTTATGTTGGTCTCCTGCTGAGAAATACAGGTTCCTGGTTCTTCTTGGCCTTGGGTCAAGAAGATGCACCTTTTTGACACCTATGACTATATTAATAATAATGAAAGTAGAGTAATTCTTATGATAATGACAGCAGCTTATTTATACAGCTAAGACAGATAGGTTAAGTAACTTGCTCAAGGCTGTAGAGGTGCTAACAGCAGAGCCAGGATTCAAACCTCATCCTTGTGGCTCTAGAGTCCAATTTGGGCATAGAAGGTGGTCACTGACTCATTTTTCATGGAAATTCTGACAACTTAGAGCAGAAAAGAACATTACCTATAGGTTTTCTCATCCTCATTTAGGTAGTTACTCAGTCTCCTTGTATCCTTCTCCAAAGAAATATCTCCAAGAAAGGAAACTACCTTTCTGCAATTTCTCTGAAATCATCCTCAGTGAAGGATAAGAAGACAGAGTCATCATAGGTCCCATACAAACCTGAAGGAGTTCTGAAGTCTTGGTGTCTCTCTCTCTCTCTCTCTCTCTCTCTCTCTCTCTCTCTCTCTCTCTCTCTCTCTCTCTGTTACTAAAGCCATTAACAGGCAGGGGCGAGGCTACTAAGTGCCTCGTGACAGCGACATCACTCACCATGGGGAATGCCATCCCAGATGTCCAGCCAATCGTATTTGCAGTCTCCCTCTCCCACCAGCAAGGGGTCATGCTCCAGGTCAAAGGTCAGAAACTGCAGGATGATCTCCATCTTGGGCTTGGCCAGGATGGTAAAGGTGCAGTCTAAGTTGTGTGGGTACTTCTCAGGGAACCCAGGGGATTCGATGGTCCCGTTGGGGCTTGTGAAGTTCTTTGAACAGTCTTCGGAGCCTGTATGTAAAGGAGAACTGCAGCATTAAGAAAGTAGAAAGGAAAATGCCTTTCTCGGCTGCTTCTGTCGCATGGGTTATTTAAATATTTGGGCTCCAATCCCCCTACTCATGAGGTTTTTGTTTCTACTGGAGTGGCCCTTGAAGCCACATACTCTTTACATTCACATTTCAAGCCCTTAAGTCAGACCTTCTTTAAAGAGAGAAATTAGGGAGAGGAGCTGGCTTGCTTTACATATTAGAGTAAGAACAGCAATGAGGAATTAGGGAGGGGGGTAGAAAGAAGTGTATGTGTGAGATAGAGAGAGAGAGAGAGAGAGAGAGAGAGAGAGAGAGAGAGAGAA